GCTTTGCTAAGCTTGTTCTAAGTAGGTGCTTTAGACCACTGAGCCATCTCTCCAGCCCCTTCCATACTTTTTCTATGAATAGAGTTAAAATCAACAGACTGTTTTACTATATTTGTAACTTTAAAAACTTAAAATGGGCATGTCTCATTAAAAATAGTGAGGTTGCATGTATTCCAGTATGCCTCTTATTGGACATTTAAGCTGTTTATGTCATTTTTGCTCTTAATTAGTGCTACAGTGGAGAAATAGAAAGCCAGTGTGGTGCAGGGATCTGGGCTGAGGCACGGGGCTGTGTATCAAATTTAGGACCTTGCACTTGCCAGGTAGGTGCTATGTCTCTCCAACCCCATGCCTTAGTTTTTATGCGTGTAGGTTGTACTTTTTTCAGATATTGAAAACTGGTTTGTGTAGTCCAAAATTATTTAATTTTGCCAAGCCCACTTTCCTTAGGGATAATTAGGGACAACTTGTTTTGCAGGGTTGTAATAAAGATTAGAAATAGTGTATCCAAGGTCAATTCAATAACCTATTTACTTTTTTTTTTCTGACTTACAGCTTTAGCAGACTATATATATATATATATATATAGTATTGGGGATTGAACTCAAGACCTTGTACTAGCCACACAAGCACTTATTCTACTGAGCTATCTCCCTGGCTCTTATATATTTCAAATGAATGAATAACCTTATCATCCACTCAATTTAGATATTTACTGAACACCTATGTATTACAGTACTGTTCATAATTTCAAGGCCTCACGTGCCCATATCATTCAGATTTATTTTCTATGTAAACTATAGGTTCAATTTCAGTGACCAACCCCCTAGCCCCCAGTGCTGGAGACTGAACCAGGGCCTGGAACGTTAGGCAAGGGCTGTTACCAAGCTACACTCTGAACTCGTTTCAGAGAAGCTCCTTTGTTTCCTCATATTCTCTACCCAGCCTGGCCCATTAGAGTAGGTGCTGAATAAACGTGTGAGCTCAGGTGAATAATTTAGTGAGAAAAAAAGACAATTAGATAAAACCTGGCAGGCTATGACAAAAGCAATAACAAGTATAAAGAGGTTTGTACTTTGGGAGTTCAAGAGATGTTAAAACAGATTTGACAACGGTTCTGATCAGAGGGAGGAAGGAAAAGGGCTTACAGACAAGAGATAGTAAGAGTTAAGGCTTAGAGGTAGAAATAAAGGGGGTAGGGTGGATAAATTGGTTCGGATGAGCTGGGAAAGAGGTATCACAGTAGGGTCCCACACTGTAAGGATTTTGATTTTTTAAAAAAATTTATGTGTGTGTGTGTGGTCAGCTCAGCCAAGCAGGGGCGGGGCTGGCTGGCATGTGGTGCTGGGGGATTGAACCGTAGTCCCTGTGCTTTGCTAAGCTTGTTCTAAGTAGGTGCTTTAGACCACTGAGCCATCTCACCAGCCCCCAGGATTTTGATTCTTTATAGAATCTTTTTTTTTTTGCGGAACCGAGAATTGAACTCAGGCCCTTGCGCTTGCTAGGGAAGCGCTTATTCCATTGAGCCATCTCCCTGGCTCTTATGGAATCTTTTTGATGGAGTTCTTTTTGAACTTTTCTGAAAAACACCGCTTTCAGTATGGTCTGAGCTTCCTTGGGTAGAATGGGTCCGAGGGACAGCAGGCGTCAGGAAAACAGGAGGACTGGAGGTGGAAACTTCTCGGCCTGGGGAAGGCAGGGAGTGAGGATGGCAGGGACCTCCAGCGGCCCACGGGGACCTAAGGGATGGTGTTGGCCGCGAGGAGGGGTGGAAGGGACGAGAGGTGGAGGAGGAGGACGAAGCCTTTAGCAGATCAGCAGGCAGCAGAAAGCTGCGGGGCGGTGCTTATGTGCATTGGCCACTACGCAGAGCGGCTGCGCCAAGGCTCTCGGAAACAGCGCGAGTCCTCAGCGTCAGCCCCGCCCACCTCCCCGCCCACTCCCAACCCACTTCCCCCACAGCCCCGCCCACTCTCCTCCCGCCCCGCCCGCTCTCAGCCCAGCCGCCCCGCCCCCGCCCGCTCTCTGTCCCTCTGTCCCACCACCCCCCCGCACCTGGCCCCGCCCTCGCCCTGGCCCCGCCCCGCTCCCTGTCTGGAGTCTCGTTCCGAGACCCTGCGGCCCTAAGCCCTCAGGCAGGCTCTGCTGCTGGGGCGCTGCTGGAAGGGTCTGGGTGGTGAAGTGGGAGGGAGCAGGTCACCTTTTCCTGCCTCGCCCGCGGCTGCCCGAGCCCGGAGGAAGCCGCATGGAGGGAGCTGGGCATGGGCGCGGGGCCGGGCCCAGCCCCATGGCTGGAGAGCAGCGGCAGCCGCAGCGGCAGCCCGGCTCGTGCCAGGTGTGCCCCGAGCAGCCGGCCGATGGGCCCCAGCAAGGGCTCTTTTCCAGCCTTCAGACCGGTAACCAGTCGTGCCAGCTCATGCTCCTGAAGACGCTGGAGACAAGTAGGAGCCCTACCTGGAGCCTGGGGTCGACGGGGTGGTGTCTGAGACCCGGACGGGGAGGAGGGGCCTGGGTTCCGCTCTGCCGGGTATTCGGGGTCAGCTCACGTGCTGGATTGCGGGGTTCCTGGCTCCCCAGTGCAGGAGCTGGGCAGATCCACATCTGGATGGTAGAAGTAGAGGCCTGGTCCTCAGTTTCCCCATTGTAGGAGGCGCTGTCGCCTCTTTTAGCACTACTTTCTTTGGTGGAGTGAATATGGGTCAGGGTAGGAGCTTGCCATTTTGGGCCTTACTCAGCGATAATTCTTGAGTAACTTGTGCAGCACGCGGAGCAATGAGGGTCTGAGTTTTGAAGAGCGTTTTAATTTAGGTGTAGTACTGCTGGTAGTGCAAAAACAGTTTTGTGAAAACTGCTCATCGTGGAAGGTTTTTTTTTTTTTTTTTTTTTTTTGATGGAAGTTTTAACCTTGATGCATGGGTGGGTTACTAGGTGTAGAAGAAATCGTGTGCATATGCATCTAACTGTATTTTTCTGGCGAGAGAGTTCAAAGCTTGATCATATTCTTGAGTCCCACAACTTCAAAAAAGAACCATTGCTGTGGAGTAAATAAGATCCAACTATCCATTGATCAGTTTCTGTTCAGTCCCAGGCACATTGTACTAGAGACTTAACTTTTGCATTGACATAGACTTCTTCTTTTTTTTTTTTTTTTTTTTTTTTTTTTAAATGTATTTGGTACAGGATCTGAATACGCGTAGCTCAAACTTAGTGATCCTCCTGTTTTAAGTTTACCCAGCTGTGGGATTACAGGCATGCGCCACCATGCCCAGTCTTGGTGGCTGACTCAGCCCACCCAGGGGCAGGGCTCGGGCAGCTTGTGGTGCCGGGGATCAAACCCTGGTGCTTGTGCTTGCCTAAGCAGGCGTTTAGTCTGTTGAGCTAGCTCATCTCGCCCAGGTGTTTTTGTTTTTTTTTTCTTTCTTTCTTTTTTCTTTTTTTTTTTTTTTGGTCTTTTTGAGACAGGGGTTCACTACTTAGTTCAGGCCAGCCTTGAGCTCTCTTCGCAGCCCATGTTGGCTTGAACTCTCAGTGAGCCTCCTAGGGGTTGGGGGATAGCTCAGTAGAATAAGTGCTTGCCTGGCAAGCGCAAGGCCTGAATGCAATCTCTGGTTCCACCAAAAAACCCAAAAATATAAAAAAAATAAAGGTGATCAGTGAGCCTCCTGGCTGTGCTTCCCAAGTGCTAGGCAGGCATGTGCCACCACATCTCATTTACCTAACTTCTTTTACTCACCTGTTTTTGCTTTCAGCATTTTAAAATTAAATTTTTTTATTTTAGGGAAGGGTCTACAGGGTGTTCAGGGTCTTACTACTAGATTGGACTCTGTAGTGATTCTCCTGTTTACAGCCTCCCAAAGTGCTGGGATTTCAGGTGCGCGACACCACATCCAGTCTCAATTGTCATCTCAGCGCCCCCAGGGGTGGGGCCTGTACAGCAGGCCCAGGGATCGAACCCCCAGTCCCTTCGCCTGCTTGCAGGCGCTTTAATCCACTGAGCTGTTTGCTCTAGTATTTCTTAAACCTTTATTTCTTTTCCTGTTTTGGGGGGCTCTGGCCTGTGTGTTAATTTATTTATTTATTTATTTATTTATTTATTTATTATTATTATTTTTGTGGAACTGGGGATTGAACTCAGGCCCTTGCGCTTGGCAGGCAAGCACTTATTCTACTGAGCAACTCCCCAGCCCCAAGGCCTGTGTGTTTATGATGGCTGTGGGTAGAGTTGATATTAGCAGCACCTGTGCCCAGTGTACTTGGATGTAGCCGTCACAGGCTTGGCGTTTTAAAGGCCCTCAGGAATCATCCAGGCCTCTCTGCTCCCATGCAGGAAAACTTTTGTTTCCTCAGGGCCAGAGGTCTTTAGACCTCTCCTGAAACAACTTGCCTCTCTGTGGAGGCTGTGGGAATCTATTCTGTCTTGACAGGTTTGATTGTTGGAAAAATTCTTGCAGGTTGCAGACTGCTTCCTGTAATTTCTATTCTTTACTGAGAGAGAAATTAGGGAAACTACACCTTTCATAATAACATCCAAAACAATGAAATATGTAGGAATCAATCTCACAAAAGACATAAAAGATTTATACAGTGATAATTATGATACTGAGAAGAGACTGAAGAGGATTTGATAAAATGGAAAAATATTCCATGCTCCAGGATAGGAAGAACCAACATTGTGAAAATGGTCATATTTCTAAAATTGCTATACTGATTGAATGCAATTCTGATTAAAATAGCATTAGTATACCTCACAGAGCTAGAGAAAAATAACCTCAAATTCATTTGGAACCAGAAGAGACCTAGAATATCAAAAGCAGTCCTGGGAAATGAAGGAAAGGCAGGAAATTATTAGTCGTTCACCTGAAATTATACTATAAAGCTACTGTGATAAAATCAGCATGGTACTGGCATAGAGACAGACCTGAGGATCAGTGGGACAGATTAGAAGATGCAGAAACAACTGCACACATATTCCGTCACCTTATCTTTATTAAAGGAGCCAAACAAGCTCACTGGAAGCCTCTTTAATAAATGGTGCTGGGAAACTGGCTTTCTACATGCCAAAGGCTAAAACTAGACATCTCTATCACCATTTGCAAAACTACAGTCAAAATAGATGAAAGATTTAAATATTAAAACAGACACACTAAGTGTTCTGGAGAAAAATGTAGGTAGAAATCTTAAAGACAGAGGGGTAGGTAGAGAGTTCATGAATAAAAACCAGACTTCATGGGAAATACTTCAAAGAACAACTGGGATCTCATCATTTTGAGAAGTTTCTTTACTTCAAAGCAAATCTCTAACAGAGTAAAAAGAAAACCAACAAACTGGGAAAAAAATTATAGTCAACTGTCCCTCAGACAAAGGCCTTCTATCTAGAACATACAAAGAATTAAAAAAAAAAAATCAGGGGGCTGGGGAGATGGCTCAGTAGAATAAGCACTTCCTTGGCAAGCGCAAGGGCCTCAGTTCAATCCCCAGTTCCGCAAAAAAAAAAAAAAAAAATCAGGCTGCCAAAATTCAAAGGCCCAATCCAAAAGTGGGCGTCTGAAATGAATATACACTTCTCAGAGGAAAAAATAAAAATGGCAACTAAGTATATGAAAAAAATGTTCAACGTCACTGATCATTGGTTGAGAAATGCAAATTAAAATAATACTGAGATTCTGTCTCACCCCTAGAAAGAATGGCTAACATCAAGAAGTCAGCCAATAACAAATGCTAGAGCGGCTGTGGAGAAAAAGGAATCCTTCTGCACTGTTGGTGGGAGTGCAGACTGGCACAACATTGGAAATCAGTGTGGAGATTCCTTCAAAAGCTAGGATTGGAGATCTCATTCAGTCCAGTTATTCTCCTGCGTATTTTTCCAGAAGAATTGACCTGCCTGTTTACAGCCCCCCAAGAACTGGGATTACAGGCGCGCACCATTATGCCTAGTCTCAGTTGCCATCTCAGCGCACCCCAGGGGTGGAGCTGGCACGTCAGGCCCAGGGATCAAACCCTGGCCCCTGCACCTGCTTGCAGGCACTTCAGTCTGCTGAGCTATTTGGCTGGCCCTTTTTTCCAGAAGAACTGAAAACTTCATACCACAGTGATATGTGTGTGCCCAGGTTTGTAACAGCACACTTTGTCATAGCTAAATCCTGGAAACAACCCAGATGCCCATCAGCTGAAGAATAAGGAAGATGTGGTATTTTTACACAATAGAGTAAAGCTGAGCTATAAAACCAGATAAATTTGAGTCTTTCATTGGTAAATGGATGCAACTAGAGAACGTACTCTTAAGTGAAATAAATCAGACCTACATATGCAAGTATTGTATTTTCTCTTTAGTGTGAGAACCCGAAAGACAAAAATGGAATCTGAAGGGTACAATAGATACCAGGAAAAGGGGAATGAACTTATTCAAAAGGAAAGAGTTACTGAGTTGAGGAGAAGGGCAGGAGAAGGAGTGGGGGAAAGAGATTTATCTATGTATGTAAGCGGGATGGTTTAGACAACTGTACTGTGCATTTCTGCTGGTCCATGGAAAGAAACAATGTTTTAATTTGTTTCATCTCCTTTTGTCAGTTGTTTCATTTTGCCTTATTTCTTATACATTTTTTCTTCCAATTTTGCATGTATCTGGTAATATGAATAACTGGTTGGAAGACAACACTATGTATTACAATAAATACTGTGAAATTCGTATTACTTTGTTAAGTGAAAAGCTGTATCACTTGTAATGTTTTCTGTTTTAATTCTAATTTGTACTCTTAAAAAAAAAATTCTATTCTTTTATCTCTGTTCTGCCCATTGAAGCAATATTGACGGAATCTACCCCAGACAGCACCCTTTGGTCCTAATGAA